TATGGATCGTTTCTTCAGTGCAAAACAACGTTGACGAGGAAGGTGAAAAATAGACTAATTCATGTAATGCTTTCAATTCTCAATTAAGTGGTTTATCAACAGTTGATATACCGTACATTTTAAAGCTCTACCAGCGATTGTGATCTAATGTTTAAAGAACGAAAGTTAACCTTGTCTTTTGCTTAAAATGTTATTATTTTTTTTAATGCCTATCGTTATCTCTCCAGGATGTAGTACTGATGCGTGCATTGCGTGATATGAACCTGCCAAAGTTCGTGTTTGAAGACGTACCACTCTTCCTCGGCCTCATTGCTGACTTGTTTCCAGGCCTTGATTGTCCAAGAGTGCGCTACCCGAACTTTAACGACGCTGTGGAAGCCGTTTTACAAGACAACAAATATGTGCTACTTCCACATCAGGTGCAAAAATGTTCTTTATGTTGTTTCCCTTGCAGCACAAAATCTTGTCTTTGAAGCACTGAATTTGTTACTTCTAGGGCTACCTAAAATATGTACAACTACTTATGGCCTTAATTCTTTTAATTGCCTGGCGGCCAAATCCTGGAACGTACTGTTACAGATTTAAACACCTTCCGCAAATTAATTTTTTCCTGTAATATTGCATAAATATATCTGCTTTGTTATAATTTTTCTTTCTTTATTTCTAATTTCTAACATCAGGTAGCTCGAAGAAATTAGCAGCAATGCTACTCTGTAAATTCGAGGTTAAATAAAGTTTATGGTTACGATGATGATGATGATGATGATGAGGGCATTTATAGAGCAAATTATTTTTGGTGTAATATATTTTGTGACAGTTTGAGTTACTAACGTAATCTAATCATCGTGTGATTGCGTGACAGGCTGATAAAGTTGTTCAAATGTACGAGACTATGTTGACTCGTCACACAACCATGATCGTGGGTCCTACTGGAGGAGGAAAGACTGTTGTCATCAACACCTTAGCACAGGCACAGACACGGTGAGATCATCAGCTAATGGACCTTTTCGGCGACACGGCGGCCATTTTGAACTCTGTTGTTTCAAAAAGCTATTATGGGATGCTCAGGGGGCAAATTAGTATGTATTTGTCCCATAAACATCCCATAATAGCTATTTGAAACAATAGAATGCAAAATGGCCGCCGTATCACTGAAAAGGTCCATCTGTCACAGACACGTTTAGAAAATTCCTCCAAATAAGCCGTTAGATAATATAGAATAGTCCTAACAAAGGGGATCTGACATCGAGCCATAAAATTTCACATACAATTTCGAATACATGGACTATAGAGCTACAAGAATTTTTGATTGAACAGTTTTCCTCCTTTTTTTGCGTCGTATTTAATATCGACTAATATCGCCTTGGTAAAATCAAATGGAACTTATCTCGATGTCTCCTAATATTGCAAATTTACAATCAACCGAAAACTGTGCAAGGAAGTTCAGTTTGCCATTTTCTCCCACTTTGCGCTTTCTCGGAAATTCCGTGCTCTTCGTTCCTCTTTTGCCTTCCAAAGCCTTCCCGCCCGCTTTTCTGCCTGTTTCCAGGCCACTGTCCCCTTCCACTGTAAACCGTTTTCTTCCGTCAGCTCATTTCATTGAACCACTATTCCCTGCAGTCTTAGTATCCCTACCAAACTGTACGTAATGAACGCCAAAGCATGCACAGTAGTGGAGCTTTATGGTACACTGGACCCAGTCACACGAGACTGGACGGATGGTCTGCTGTCCTGTATCTTCCGTGAGATCAACAAACCAACAGACAAGAATGAGCGCAAGTACATCGTGTTCGATAGCGACGTGGACGCTCTGTGGGTTGAAAACATGAACTCCGTCATGGATGACAACAGGCTTTTGACTCTGGCTAATGGCGAAAGAATTCGGCTTCAGAAACACTGTGCCTTGCTATTTGAGGTAATGTTTACTGAATCGCTTTCATGCTGTATACGTCGTGTGTAATATGATCTCTAATGATCTCTTCCCAAATTTATTAATAATCCATCAAGTTTGAACAAAGAAAATCATGACCGTGACGTTGTTTGGATATCTGCTTTTAATTAGCATAGATTTTTACGATTTTATTTCTCCGTTTTCTCCTTAGTTTTAGTTTCGATTGGGAAGATATATCAAAGACTCAAGACAGTGTTTGAGCACATTACCAAACACCTCGAAGTTCGTCAAAAATACCTCGCTGCGCGTCGTATTTTCAACTCTCTTCTCGATGTTTGGAAATGTGGTCAAACACGGTCTTTCGAGTCTGATATATTACATGAATCACGAGGAAGCTTTTTCCTTAATGTTAAAATAAATAAAAACAAGTGAGTCATCGTGTTAAATACCCTGTTCATCCGTAAAGACAATTGTTATCTCTTATACAATCTGTACTTCAAGTGGTATGGAGATTCTGGATTCTGGTACTGAACGTTTTCTACTGTTTACTTACGTGTAGGTTGCAGATCTTCGTTATGCCTCCCCGGCCACTGTGTCCCGTTGTGGTATGGTGTACGTAGATCCTAAGAACTTGGGCTACAATCCCTACTGGCAGAAATGGTATCACGCCCGCGGGAGTGATAAGGAGAGAGAAGAGCTGAACAGACTGTTCGAGAAATATGTGCCGCCCTGTATTGACCTTATACTGGAAGGGATCGTTGAAGGAAAAATAGGAAAGAAACTGAAGACTATCATTCCTCTGACAAACCTAAACATGGTAGGAGAAGTGACAAAAGCAAAGGCTAAGCGGGAGCTTGCGTAGGCTCTGCTCAAATAATTTCGTCAGAGAAGTCATATTATTTGTTCTACTATTGCTGCAAATATTGCCTGTCTCGTCGTGGTCAATAAAAGCAGAAGAAGAAAAGTCGGGGAAAATTGAAAGAATTTAACACGGCTGATTTAATACCATTGAAGGCTGGAAGAAACAATTTGGGGTTACTGTGATCTCAACTATATTTTTCCTTAATGAAGAAGGAAAATTTGTTGAAAACATATCAGTCGTAATGAACGAGTAGAAAGGACGGCTGCAAGTTGAGGCCGGAAGCCGCTGCTAGTTCTGACATTTTGTATTTATTTGATCAGGGAAATCTTATTTTTATCAGGGGAAACTCAGGGAATTTTGAAAAGTGATGCCTGTGGCAACCATGATTCAAGTAGTGACCATTGAGACTAGTCTTGATTGACTCTTAATCAAATTCTCCCTAGAAGATGTCACAAATTATATGTAAAACCCTAAGAAGAATTCATATTTTGTCGCTTAGCTTTTTGACCCCGATTTCTAGCCATTTCTCTTTCTCTACGTTATCAGGTTGTTCAACTGTCGCAGATGTTGGATGCACTTCTCCCCCCTGCAGAAAACGCTCAGTTCCTTGGCTCTGAAACAACAGAGGCTATCTTCTTGTCAGCGCTGACCTGGTCATTAGGAGGAGGCCTGCTTGAGGACGGCCGGACTGTATTTGATATGTTCGTCAAGAGGATCGCTTCCTTGCCTCAAAATCCTGCTGAAGGAACAATTGTTGGACCAGGTATGATGAACTTGCTTATTTAGATGCTATGGTAATGGTGTAATTTCATATGTAATCAAATGATTTCGTGTGCAATTTGGAATACATAAGCACAAGTAAATTTTTCAAAGACTACAAAAAATTACACGAACCCGTAGGACGACTGAAATTTGTAGTTTCTGAACAATTTACGAGTGCTTATTTATTCCAAATTGTACGGGAAACATTATTTGATTACTTGTTAACAATATTCAAGTGACAATTTCTGTCACGGAAGACAGGGTGGAAGGTCTTTCTTAGTATCAACTAGCCGCCTCTGGAATATGATGCTTGTCCACGTAACCTAATCTTATAAGCTTAAAAGAAAAATCCATTCTGAAACATTTTATGGACAGTTATAAGGGTCTGGACCATTTTATAATCTAAATTTTTGATTTTCTAGTTTTAATTATCAGACTTAATCCAATGCTTTGCTTTTTTATATTTTAGTGAGTCTCGCCTTTTAGTTTTTTATATTATAGTTGCATAAGTGAGAATCTTCCTATAGTATTAATTTTTGATGCTTTGGAGTGACTTATAGGTTATCTTTTTATTCTGTAAATATTTGTATGAGGGCCACTGGCTTTCCAGTACATCTACTGTTTTGTGTTACCCCGTATAAATAAAGTTGATTAAGTTGATAAAGCAAGCTCTCTTCACTCAAGTTTTCGTTATCATTGTCCAGGTGAAATTCCCAGCGCCCAGTCAACGTTATTCGAGTACTATTTTGACTCCAAGAAGCTCCTCTGGGTCCCCTGGATCGACGTCATCCCTGAGTACGTTCACGATCCCGAGAAAAAGTTCTCTGAGATTTTGGTTCCTACTGTGGACACTGTCAGGACAACATGGCTGCTGGAGCTCATGGTCAGCATAAAGAGACCCGTGGTACTTGTGGGAGAGACTGGCACTTCTAAGTCTGCTACGACAGCGAACTTTTTGAGGGGCCTGGACAAAGATTCTACGGTACGTCTGTGTTTGTAAACTGTCAAGTAATGGAACTCTGAGAGATGTACAAAAACATCTACAGAGAAAATGATGGAATATGTGTCATGGTTCCTTAAAGGGCTACTATTATGTGTATGACTTCGAAAAGTCAAAACAAAAAAGACATTTTTATTGATGGATACCAAAATATAGAGGTCCATTTTTGTTAAGAATTACTGTGCAAGCTGGCCGAATAAATAAAAAGTGTAATAAAATATATTACAAAGGTGTAATTTAAATGTTTTACTGAAAAAGTCTGACAGACGTTTTCGAAATTCCGTTATCTTGTCGTGAAAACATCAGCAAAAGTAATTAAGCTTAATTACAATCCTCCGTAGGTAAAATTTAGTTCAATTCATTACTTTTATTTACACTATACAAGGCATTTAGATGCATTTTATAGATAAAGTAATTAGAATGGTAAAAAAAACGTTAAGAAACATAAAGTTGTAAAAAATAAAATTTTTATATGAGCGGTGGCCAAGGTAGCAAGAGCATTCTGGTTGGACATCGCCGTGGTCAAGTAAATGGCAGCAAAAAAGATTCAGCTAAGCTACACTAAGGATACACTAAGGAAAAGGGTTGACGGTTGTACATTTTTATACCTTACTAACCTAACACAGCCCATTAGGCGCTAGGAAAGCAATATTTTGGCTCTAATTATTTGTCCCTGTAATAATGGCATTGTGTATGCTAGGTTTGAGGATTTTAGAACTTTGTTTACCCGTTGGTATCTGTTTTTCTATGGAGGATTTAATCTCCTGTCAATGACGTGCTTAATATCTTCGTCTTGATGGTCTCGGAATATTGTGTGTACGAACGAACGTACTTAGACATAAATTGAACACTGCTTTGACTAAAAATGCCACAAAATCGCCTCCATAGTGTTATTTTGATCTATGTGATGATGTCGCCTTGATAATAAACTAGCAAAGTGCTTTTGTTATTATCTATTCATTCAATTACTGTTTGTTGTTCCTAACCAACAGCTCCTACTCAACATCAACTTCTCGTCTCGAACAACATCCATGGACGTACAACGGAATCTCGAGGCCAACGTAGAGAAGAGGACAAAAGACACTTACGGTCCCCCCATGGGTAAGAGACTGCTGGTGTTCATGGATGACATGAACATGCCTCAAGTGGATGAGTACGGGACTCAACAGCCAATCGCTTTACTGAAACTGCTGCTGGAGAGGGGAGGCATGTACGACAGAGGCAAGGAACTCAACTTGAAGAATTTCAGGGATATCGGCTTCGTGGCGGCCATGGGAAAGGTACGGTGTTTTTACAACTGATTATTTAGATCTAACGTTTGAGACAGAGAAATGTCTCCCTACANCCACAGAAGATGTGCAACTGTGGTAAGAACATCAGTGACACCCTCGGCTATCGCCTCGATCGTGTGTCACTTTTTTGTTCTCACCACATTTTGACATCATCTGTGATCTATTACTGAACAGACGCACGGCAATGTGGAATCTATTTGTTAAGTAACCTACTCCTCTTATTTACTGGTCAAAACTCTCTATGTCCGTGTAAAAATGAAACATTAGTGGACTTCTGCACTCTCAATTTTCTTATGCGTTGCTTATCCTTCGCTCCTGTTGTCAGGGTTACCTCGAGGAACTGGTTGAACAGAACTTCACAAACTATGTGGACATGGTCAATCGTGAACCGATCCTGTTTGGAGATTATCGCAATGCGTTGACTGAAGATCCTCGCTTGTATGAGGATATCGTGGATTATGAAGCGGCCAAAGCTATTTTTGATGAGGTTGGTAATCTACTTCTGTTAAGCATTTCCCTTTCCCTTTCATGTACCGCTAATTGTCATATACTGTAAAATGCCGCTTATAAGCCCTGGGCTTACACAACTTCGTAAGGGTGTTTAAATGGGCTTATATCCGAAGGGGCTTATCACCGGACATTTGACATTTGGTGTTGCTAGAAATGATATATTTTTTTTGAAGAGATATTTTAAACAGTCGCACACAAGTTTGCAATACGATGTAAATAATCTTGGTACAAAGTTTCTGCACTTGTTACTCGAACTTCTGGTGGATTCTCTCTTGATTCCCTCTTTTTTTAGCCTTTAATGAACCTAACGATTTATAGTTAAGTTTTGTGACATAATATTTCCTCTTCTCTAATTACAGATCCTAGAAGAATACAACATGGACCACGTCCCAATGAACCTTGTTCTCTTTGATGACGCTATCGAGCATCTGACACGTGTTCACCGCGTGATCCGCATGGAGAAAGGTCACGCTCTACTGGTGGGAGTAGGGGGCAGCGGTAAACAGTCCCTCACCAAGTTAGGCGCCTTTTCTGCTGGGTGCGAGGTGTTTGAGATCACACTTACTCGAGGGTATGACGAGGGTTCTTTCAGAGAGGACCTGAAGGGACTTTATTCGAAACTTGGATTGGAAAACAAGAAAATGGTGTTCTTGTTTACTGATGCTCATGTTGCTCAAGAAGGTAAATATTTTCAAGTTTAACAACATTCGTAATATTAAAGTTATACTTCTGAAAAATAATGGAGAGGTGACTTGTAAGTGACGCGCATTAACTTGCTTTGAAAGTGAAAATGGAATTTTCTTTAGAAAGACAGACCTGATGCATGAAGCAGCTCCACTTGTGTTTGCTCAACAATGTTCCGAGGTTTTATACGTAACTGAAGAATATGTAACAACGAAATAAAAATCATGCGCAGGTTCAATTCGCCGAACTGAGTTGAGTTTTAAAAGTTAAGACTTCCTGCTAAAGATTTTGGTCAAAAATTGTTTGGCGGAATAAAAACTTTAAACTCAGCTTAGGGCAAGTGTGAAAAAATCAGGAACATTCTGTCATTAACAAATGTTAGTTAATTGTAGTTCTTCGTCAAAATTGTTTATTTGCTCTCTGTTTGTAAAGATGTGTAACTGATTTACTCCATTCCCAGGATTCCTCGAGCTCATTAACAACATGCTGACGTCAGGCATGGTTCCCGCGCTTTTCCCTGATGACGAGAAAGAAGGGATCATTGGCCAGGTAAATATTCCCACGGTTTATCGCCGGGCCTAAGTTCTACATGTGGTGACCTTGGTGCGCATCTGCATAGAGGGTGCGGTAATCGGGCGTTTTAGTGGCCATAACGGCGACGTTGAGGGCAACGTCGATTAAAAAATGAATTTATATTTTACCTACGAATCTCGCAGTTCTCTTAAGTCAATTACTTTGTTTATCACTGTCAAAATTATTACGACACTTAATCTGGGATAAATTCGAAATACTAATCTAAAAAACTAGCCGTCGTGGTTCACGTTCTCTAGACAACGCAGAATTTGGTCATTTCACGTTGTTGTTTTGCAGAGGACGGCAAAGAAATGTACCAAAAATTATAACGCACGTGCACAGCCATTGTTTTCCTCATTAAATCTTTTGTTTAGCGACGTTCCCGTTGCCGTTGCCGTCATGGTTTTCTTTAACTCCCAAATGATTTTCAAGGAAGGGGATTGGGTGATATGAGGAAACTGAATCAAACCAGCGAGGTTGTTCTTCCTGCCTTGAAACTTCATTGGTTGAATAGCTTAGCAGAGGTAATTCTTATTTTTCCTCCTTGCTATTGCAGGTTCGAGACGAGGCAAACAAGGCCGGAGTACCACCCGCAAGGGAGTCTATTTGGCAGTACTTTGTTAACAAGTGCGCGAACAACCTTCACATCGTGCTAGCCATGTCTCCTGTGGGGGAGACCCTCAGGACACGATGCCGTAACTTCCCTGGCTTGGTCAATAACTGCAGTATTGACTGGTTCACGGCCTGGCCACAACAGGCATTGCATGCTGTCGCCTCGGTATTTCTGGGAGAGAATGTAAGTTACCTTAGATTGGCGCTTGTATCTTATTGAAGGTAGCGCTAATGAACTCAGGGTTGCCACAGGTCAGGAAATGGTCAGAGGGAAAAATAAATTGTTCAAGGTCAGGGAAAAGTCAGGGAATTTTATTTCGAGTCAGGAAAAATTGATATTTTGAAGAAAAGTCAGGGGAAATTGAAATAATTTATCACAGTTTATTCAATACCGTTGAAGGCTGGAAGAAACATTTGGGCTCACTGTGATCTCAACGTCAAAAATTTTTTGAAAACTCAGTTAGCTGTCTTAATAAAGGAGTAGAAAGGACAGCTGTAAGTTGAGGCCAGAAGCTGCTGCTAGATCTGAGATGTATTGATTTGGTCGGGGAAATGCTGTTTTTATCAGGGAAAAGTCAGGGAATTTTGAAAAGTGATGTCTGTGGCAACCATGGAACTCTTTTCACAACGACTCCTTTGTTTGAGCGCAGAAAGAAATGGTTTGCGTGGAAACGGACTTAAGTACAGCGTAACAAGATTAAGAAATGTCTTACCTGGCAAAAAGTTTACTCAAGCGCTGTCTTACATATTTCTAGAACGACAAGATTCCCGACGAGCACCGCGAAAACGTCGTCAACCACGTGGTGTATGTCCATCAGACTGTCGGCGTGTTCAGTAAGACATTCCTGCAGAAGCTAAGGAGAGTCAACTACACCACACCCAAGAACTACCTGGATTTCATCAACACCTACAACAAGCTACTGGAAGAGAAGGACAAGTTCGTCTTAGAACAAGTAAGAGCGTTTATGTCATCATATCATTTCTAAACAATGATGGAAAGAAGTAAATAACTTACAAGCGGCTTTTGAAATGAAATGAAAGAAAAACTTCTTGTCCCGAGCAGAATTCGAATCCGCGTCTCCCCGCATACTAGTCGGGTGTGGTTGCCCCGATGGTGTAGTGGATATGACGTAAGATTTTTACGATTTTTTTTCTCCGTTTTTTCCTTAGTTTTAGTTTCGGTTGAGAAGATATATCAAACACTCAAGACAGCGTTTGACCACATTCCCAAGCACCTCGAAGTTCGTCAAAAATACACCGGTACGCGTTGTATTTTCAACTCTCTTCTCGGTGTTTGGAAATGTGGTCAAACACGGTCTTTCTTGTTTGGTACATTATACGTCTTGTGGTGAAATTCGTAACAGTTCTGTATTGCTGACAGTGGGTTTTTTTCCTTAGTTCAGAACGTTGTTCCTTGTTTATTTCAGTGTCATCGTCTCGATGGAGGCCTGAGCAAACTGCTGGCCGCTAGCGAACAACTCAAAGAACTGAATGAAAAATTGGAAATCCAGAAAGTGGCGGTGACAGAGAAGAGCGAAGCCTGCGAGAAACTGCTGCTGGAGATCCAGCGTGCCACTGAACAAGCTAACGAGAAGAAAGCCATGGCGGTGGGCAAGAGAGAAGAGATAGCCGAGCAAAATAAGGAGATCGTTGTAGAGAAAGCCGAAGCTGAGGAGGCTCTTGCCCAGGCCCTGCCCGCGTTAGAGGAGGCCAAACTGGCTTTACAGGATTTGGACAAGTCTGACGTCACTGAGATCAGGTAGCCCACAGAGTTTTAATTATCCATGCAGGAAATTATAACTGACGAAAATTACCGAAGCCTGTACTCCGTCTTGTCGTCAATTCTCGGAACCGAGGTTCCTCGCGAGAACTACCGAGTGCTTAACCCCTCTCTCTGACGCAGAATCTTTCTCTACCCTCTTATCTCTTAAGGTCATTCGCCAAACCCCCCCGTGCGGTACAGATGGTGTCCGAGTGCATTGTGGTTATGCGTGGCTACAAGGAGGTGTCCTGGAAACAAGCCAAGGGAATGATGTCAGAAGCGAACTTCCTGAAGAGCTTGACGGATATGGACGTGGATGGTATCACATCCCCTCAGGTACTGTGCGTTCTCTAAATTGACGATACTTGATTCATTGCTCTGTTTTGGTAACAGAGATGTGCCTACGTGGTCAATAATTAAAATACTCCTGGCTTAAGCCCTGGCCAAACGGACTCACAAGTAGCCGCAAGTTGAACCTGAATAGAGACTTCGTTGAGTGGCCGAATGGACTCGTAAGTTTCCCGCAACTACACACAAGTCGAAAAAATATATATTTGAAGGCCATTTCACGCAGACATACCCCGTATTTCATTGACTAATAGACTGCCATAACGACGAATGGGAAGATGCTCAAATTGTGTCCTAATCATGCTTTAACGGTGGCAGGTATGAAAAGAACAACCGAATTTGTGATCGGAAATTTGAAAAAGCGCAAACAACAAGTTTCCTGAAATGTTCAAACTACAGCTATTCGAAAGATACACACCTATGCTGAAATGTCTACCAATTTTGTCTTTTTTAGCATATCTATCGTACCTAAGTTCACGTTATCAAGATACGATTAATGTCTTTTTACTAGGACAATTCAGGACATTTGTGAATCTATGAAAAAATACATCTCTGCTATGTTTTTGCCTCCATATTAACGCTGCCTTATCTTCTCAGGTTCGTCGCTGTCGTGACATGCTGAAAGAACTGAATATCACAGTCGAAGAGATGAAGGAAGTCAGCAAGGCAGGTGCTGGATTGCTCAAGTTCGTGGTTGCTGTGTTGGGATACTGCTCAGTGGCCAGAGAGATCAAACCCAAGAGAGAGAAGGTGGGTGAAACTGAGGTAGTAGAATGTGTGGTTGGTCGTGACGTTTTTAACTATTTAAAGTATACTGGGCAATGTTTCTTGGTACTTTTCTTGTAAGGTGCTAAATACAGTTGCCTGTTGTAACAGCGACGCACCCTTGTTCGAGTTGCCTTTTGCCTCTTTGTCAAAATGATTCTTCGTGCGAAACCATTCATATGAAAATGTGTCCGCCCTACAGGTTCATTTCCATGCAAATCAAACTTATTTTCACATAAAAGGTTTTTTGCGCGAAGACTCGTTTTGAAACAGAGGCACAAGTGAACTCGGAAATGGGCTATTACTGTAACTGTCCATCTGTCAAATCTCTGCCATCACCTAATTTTCTGCTGATCATTTTCACCAAAGGTGGCTAGGTTGGAAAGGAATTTCCTTCTAAGCAAGCGTGAACTTGAGAAGATAGAGAAGGAAGTGAAAGCTTTAGATGAGGAACTTAAGAATCTGGGCGACAAGTACGATGCCGCCATGAGAGAACGGGCCAGTCTACTGGAAGAGGCGGAGATCATGGAACGACGATTAATAGCAGCTGATAAGCTCATCTCGGGTCTGGGATCTGAGAAAATACGGTAAATACAGCATGGAATTTTAAAATTAGCAGCAAATTTCAGGTCTGATGCGCTTTTTTGTTTGGCTGCGAATACCTGGGCTCTAGACGCTACCAAATACACGTTTGTTGACTGCGGCCAGAATTTTCCCGTATAGACCTTCTTCAATCTAAAGGAATTGTTCAAGCTATTAGCAGTGAAACAGCGATTGAAACAGAAGGGGTTTACCATAAGGTCTTGGAACACCGCCCAATTTCAAATGTGAAAAAAGGTTTAGAGGATGTTTTTCGACCAATTACACAGAAGTTTTTAGCGATTTAAGGGTTTGCTAGATGTCTCATAAAAGAAATTTCTTTTGACGTGTTTGGTTTCCCGAGGTTAGCTCGTTATACAAGGACTGAAATGTAACGGACACAGCAGATATGAATTTTTCTTTTACAAAAAGTAATAAAGTTTTTTTTTTTCCCAGATGGACTGAAGACCTTGAGGAGCTGAAACGACAACGGGTCCGTCTATTGGGTGACTGCCTCCTGGCCTCGGCCTTCCTTAGCTACCTTGGGGCCTTTACTTGGGACTTCCGGCGGGACATGCTCCGGGGGGAGTGGGAGAAGGATGTCCTCAACCGGGACATCCCTGTGAGTCAGCCCTTCAAGTTGGATACGTTCCTTACTAACGATGTGGAGATCAGTCGATGGACGTCTGAGGGGCTCCCCCCGGATGAACTGTCCATCGAGAATGGTATCCTGACCACACAGGCCAGCCGGTATCCACTGTGTATAGATCCACAACAGCAGGCTCTGAATTGGATCAAGAAGAAAGAGGAGAAGAACAATTTGAAGGTGAGGCAGGGTTGCCACAGGTCAGGAAATGGTCAGGGAAAAAAATTCTCCAAGGTCCAGGAAAAGTCAGGGAATTTTGAGTCAAGGGAAAATTAAAATAATATAGCACGGTTGATTTGATATCTTCAGATCTTCACCCAAAGAAAAATTTCGTATCTCCGCGCGGCCATGTAATATCCTCTAATGTGTACAAAGCTGAAAACTAGAAAAATTCTTGTTATTCCGAACGTTTTCGATTTCTTGTCATCATTAGGGTGTTTGTCATTGTTTCGTAGGTTGATCGACGTGGTCTTTCCACTAGAAGTCTCGCATTTTTTGACATTTCTTTCAAAATTATTTTTTCAGGTTGTAACTTTCAACGATCCAGATTTTCTGAAACAACTGGAGCTGGCCATCAAATATGGCTTCCCTATTCTGTTCAAAGATGTGGACGAGTACATTGATCCTGTAATCGATAACGTGCTGGACAAGAACATCAAAGGTGTCCAAAATAAAACTACCAGAAACTTATATATCCTTTAACGTAATCGTTATGGTCTATGATTACACTCTTTTTTTTCTGGCCCATGCCGAATATTCTTATTTTTGTGCCGATTTTAGGCTGAAAATATTCTTGTGAATATTCTTAGATTATAGGAATAAAAAGTGGAGTATGCCGACAAAACGTCAAATTATCTGTACTATCATGACTTTGATGGCGTTGAAGTAATTTTTGAGCCAGACTGCAGGCAGTAAAGCCTTATTAGATCGAACATTCAGCTAGTGCTGTTTGTTGTTTTTTGGCTGGTTTTGCCGTTTACTGCCGTTTTGCCGTTTACTTATTCTACAAATCCCTTATTCCTTTACTTATTCTTCAAATTCGAGAGGCTAGTCAGAAAATATCATAGTGATGATGTGGCCTACAGAAAACAGTATACTGTCTTGGTTTGCCTGTAACGCGGGCGCGAAAAGTCTCTAACCTAGCAACAACCAAAGGAACTACTCTGTAAAGCTTCGTCCGCGGCTTGAATCCCGGATGTCTTTCACGCAGAGCGGAGGGGTGGGGTGGGGTGACGTTTTCATTTCTCCGTTTAACTGTTAGGGCGTTTTTTTTCCCTCTAGGGGAGCCGGGTCGGGAGTTTGTCATGCTAGGAGATAAAGAAGTGGATTATGACCCCAGTTTCCGTCTGTACCTCAACACGAAACTGTCAAACCCCAAGTACACTCCGACTCATTTTAGTCGCTGTATGGTGGTGAACTACACAGTGACAATGAAAGGACTGGAGGACCAGCTGTTGAGTGTTATTGTGGGATTTGAGAGGAAGGAGCTTGAGGAGCAGAGAGAAAGACTTATTCAAGAAACCAGGTCAGCAAAAACGAATGGAAATGTTTTTTGTTTTCTTTTTTTTAATGTGGCTTGGTTATAAACTTTTCGTAGTCACACAGTAAACGTTCTTTTTTTGTCACGGACAAATGGAACCAAAAGTCAAAACGGTTCATAAAAATGAAGTCAATCGTTTGACGTTTTGTGTTATTAAATTTTGTTCATTTTGCTCACATTTTCTACTCTTTAAGTTTATAGGAGACTCATAGGGATAGCTCTCTTAGAATTGACGAAAAAGACTGTCTCTTCCCTCTTTTGGGTTAGGGTTAGGGTTAGGGTT